ACGGTGGTGGTGGTGGTGGTGGTGGTGGTGGTGGGGGGGGGGGTGGTGGTTGCAGTGGTGGTGTGGTGATGGTTGCAGTGGTGGTGGTGGTTGTGGTGGTGGTTGCGGTCATTGTGGTACAGTGGTGGTGGTACAGTGGTGGTGGTACAGTGGTGGCTGTCTCTTATACACATCTAGATGTGTATAAGAGACAGGCCTTGATGAGATTCCCGCATTCTGTTGTGTTTTCTAAGTCCGTCTGTGTGTGTGCGTGCTTGTGACCTGCTTGCCTGTCTGAGTGCTTGTCGACCTCAGTGTGTGTGTGTGACAGGCAAGGGTACTTGTTGGTTGAGAGGCCCCCCAGGGCCGGTACTTACCTGTGGGCATGACGTTGAGGGTTGCAGTGGGGAAAAACACTCAAGTAGCGGGGGTAGCCCCGCGACACTTAGAGCAGTGGGAAAAACACTCAAGTACCAGGTAGGCCGGTACCACTCAAGTAGTGGTCGAAGTGTCGGGCACTCAAGGCCAAGCAGAAGAAGACAAAAGTCGGCATTTTTTGAGGCCCAGTAGCGGTAGGCTAGAGGTAGGCCGGTACCAGTCCAAGTAGCCTGAGTCTAGGACGATAACCTGCAATGATGTTTCCCTTCGAAAGGGAGGAGTTACCGGTTGTTGGGACGCCGCACGACCTAGGAAGTGACCGTCCAAGAGGCAAGTAGGCCGCTATATCTTCGGGAGGAGCAAGTATCTCCTCCTCGTTTGCGGTGTGCAAGGATTGGCGACATACTGCTGGAGCCAAGTGCTGGACTTGGAGCGCTGCCTGCAGGAGGAGAGCAGCTGGGCGCTCAGCCTGGCTATGGCGAGCAGCCCAGCCTGAGGAGGAGGAAGAAGAGGGTCGAAGCAGGAGAGTGGCGAGGTACCTACCTGGCTATGGTGTACACCATCTTCATCACCTTGATAGGCACTGCATCTACACATCTAGATGTGTATAAGAGACAGGATCAAGGATGACCCTAGCACCCAGCCTGATTTTCACAAGTGCGAGGGTCTTGTATTCCGACGTTATGAGAAGTTTGATCGTTTGTGTGTACCCA